GTTGATTTTAAAAGACAGTATTTATGCAAAATGATGGCAAGGAGATGTAGAAACAAAAGTGAGGAGAAACAAAGGAAAAAGGAATAGTTTCTGTCTCCCTAAGTCAACAGTACCTTGAACTGTAGAAGAAAAAAAGGCTATGTGAATAAACATTAAGACTAGATGGACAAAGAGGAAGGAAATCTCAGAATAACTACACAAAGTTAGCATGAGAGAAACCCAAGCACAATATATTTCTAGAATAACAATGAAGAGTACTTCTCTGTTTATGTTTGTAAAATTAATATCTCAAATATTAATATGTCAAATATTCTCTGGTCTCTTAAACTCAGAGTGATTAGTGTGATTAGTTGTTCCCAAATCTGAGTTGCCCCTTCTCTTTTTTTCCTTTTTTTTTGTTTTTTTAGAATGAATGAAATCATCAAGGGAAGCTGAAAACTTGCCAGTCTGAACATACATTGAAAGAATTAGCTCTTTTGTCCTTGAAGAGGCATAGCAAAAGGTTCTTGGGATGCAGTATCAAAGACATTCCAATAACAGCAACAAAAAAACCTATTTGGAACTGAACAAGATGCTTTAATAGCAAGATGAAGCTGGTCCAACACTTACCTGAGACTGCTACAGAACTCTGGATGGGAGAGGAATCAAGCAGACATGGTTTGTGGCTGCACCACTGGATAGCTCAACCTTTGCTATCTTCTACGGCAATGCCACAACATGTAAAAGTTTAACAATAAGGAAAAAGTGTGAATTTATGTTTTTACAAAAGGAAGTAACTACTATCACTAGCTTCAAATAGAAAGCCTCTATAGTCAACAGGAGTCCTGATACACCAGTCTACAGTCTTCTCCACAGCTACCTAAATGTCCTTGCATGAGTGAGCAGCAGGACTGAACAGAGCTCTGCCTTCGATTGTGTTAACTGCTGGTTTTATGCCCAGGAGTAGTGAGCGGACAAATGTGAACTCCTACAGAGCAATACTGCATTAAGCGTCTGTCTGCTACAGTCCACATGAACAGGAAGAAGTGGATGACATCTTTAGACAACTGGAAGTAGCCACATATTCACGGGCTTAGCGGGATTTTAACTGCCTGTGGAGGGCAGCAATGGAGGGCACAACAGGAATAATCCCATGTTCTGGGGAATGGACAGCAGACTGGAAAGCAAGCTTGCAGGAAAGGTGCTGCTGTGCAGTAAGATGATAATGAACCAACACTTTGCCCTTGTGTCAAGGAAAGTCAATCATGTCCTAGGTTGC